AATACATTAAATAGATTCGGGAGAACATAAATAAGGAAGTAAAGGTTCTCCTATACTTTTAAAGTACATATAGGACATAAAGCAAAAGTATTGGCTATATCTGAAATATGCTCTTTTACAAACATGCCAATATATTTAAAAAGTAATGATTTTCTAGCTTTTGAAAACCTGACATTTCTTTTGGGCAAATAAGGAAATTTTAATTTATTTATTGACTTCAATTAAATAAAAATAACTGTATGTAAGTGGTAGCCACCAGATAGAACATTTCTGTCATTAGATTGTAGACAGAACATTTCTATCATTGTTGCTGGGCCAAACAATGAATACTTGTATCAGCTGGAAGAAGGCTTTAGACCCCAAGTTCTGGAATGTAGCCTCACCTCATGTTTATTCTCTGTCTTTTCTTTATGTCCTGTTTCCTTATTTTCTACTCTATTTAAATGCTTTTGTAACAATTTATTAGTGTGGAACCTTCTTTCACTTTCTTTCCCTCGCCATTTCTGCAGTTGATCACATTTGGACAGAGAATGAGAGGATTTGGTGATATATACATGTAGCAGAAGGAGGGAAAGTAGAGAGTTTGGATGAGAACTTGAAAGCTTTAGGTTTATGACCTGAATATCTAGTAGTGGCGCTGACTCCTCACTATTGGTGGAGCTGACTCCTCACTATTGAGACATCTGGCCATCTAATAGATTATCTAATGGCTTTTACAGATCTCTACGAATTTGGGAAAGCAACTCAGGTCCTTGCCTAGAAAAATTTTGTACGTTGGGTTATGGGATTTTGCACATAAAAATTTATACTAGGACAAAATCACAGCCTCAGAAACTCTGTGGAGAACCTGATACCTTATACCTTCATCTTTGGCTTCACTTGGGATTGCCCAGCTTGTCATTTTTACCTCTGAAGTCACACAGAATAAAGTTGGTTTTAATAAATATATGTACACACTCTTTCGCCACATCCAATACAAAAGCCATAGACCACATACTCCTAGAATTAGGGAAAACACAGTTACTAATCTCATCTAATCTTCCTCTTGTATAGTTTATTAGGAAGCTAGTGACACTCCCGTGGCCTTGCAAGCATAAGCCCTAAAATTGAATTTAAGTTCTTGTATGTATTAGTTACCTATTGCCTACATTTCAAGAGATTCTAAAATTTAACAGCTTAAAATAATAGTAAGTTTTATTATCTCACGTATGGAATAGTTTCTGTGGATGAGGAATTCAGAAGCAGCATAACAGGATATTTCTGGTTCAGGATGTCTCATGAGGTTACAGTGAAAATGTCAGTCAGGGCAGAGGCATCTGAAGGCTTGCCTGGAGCTGTAATATCTACTTCTAGAATATCTCATTCATGTGGTCATTGAATCCATGCTGGCTCTCTGCAGGAGGCCTCAGCCCCCTGCTGATGTGGTCCTTTCCATAGGGCTTCTTGAAAGTCACATGGCAGCTGACACCCTCTGAGCCAAGTGATCCAAGGAGGGGAAGGACAATGTAGAAGCTGTAGTGTCTACTATGTCATACCCTAGGAAGTCACCCACCATTATTTCTGTTGTATCCTAGATGTTACACAGGTCAGTCCCATCAACAGGAGAAAGGAATATATAAGATGTGGACACCTAGAAGCATAGCTCATTGATGCCATCTTGAAAGATAAAGCATATCACAATGTATATAAACAATCTTACACTTTCCTCCCTACAGCTGATGATTCTTTCTGTTCTCCCTCAGGTCTATCCAAGGGTGGGTGGGTGGCTGGCTGGCTGGCTGGCTGGCTGGCTGGCTGGCTGGCTGGCTGTTCATCTATGGCAAGAAAGGTAGTAAGTAAGTGTTGGCTTTTAAGGGTCTTTGAAGTTAGTGAAATAATCAACTTTATAGTTCCTTCCAGAAACCCTGTATCTCTCTATACTCCATACAGATTGTCAGAAAATTAATCATTCTTACAAATTTACTATTTTAATATAGTAGCCTCTTCAGATAATAAAAATGTTTTTAGCTATCAAAGTAGATTGTATTGGGGTTAGGTCTGAATGAAAGGCCCCTTATACTCTTTTCTCCGATTGCTAGAAAATGTTTTTTGCTGTTCCCTCATGCCCATAAAAATCTTCATTCTCTTCTTTGCTCTCTTTATGCTCAACTCTCCCAATAGACTTTGGGCATATTACTTATTAATCTCTTTATACCTCCATTTTCCCATTTGAAAATGGGGTTAATCACCTGTTTTATGGGGTTACTGAACATGGCTATTATATATGGCTCTTACGCATTCAGAGTGATTTATGTAAAATAAATTTACAGAATTGGTAGTGGTGACAAAATAAACATGTACCAAATAGAATTTAAGAAATCTGAGGCAAAAACAGCAGGTGAGGAAATTGAGAGAGGTCTAAACAGGGAGGGTGAAGAGCACAGGGACTGTGGTGATAGATCATGAGTGCAGCGGTAGTGGGAGAGTTATGGCGGCTACACCTGAGGGGAGAAATAAAATACTATACAAAAATTAACAAAGATGCAAGAAAATAAAATTTCTAAAGAATTTAAGAAATAGTTTTTTTCAGTTAGTGAGGCAGTTGGTCTGTTGCAGTTACTGTTGAGTTTATAGAACTACACTCTGAAAAACCAGAAAGTTCTTATTCTAAATTAGACATTTTAAGTGGAGTTTATTGCCCCACTTAATGTTTTTTGTTTTGTTTTGTTAAATAAATGCAGTACTGTGACTAGGTAGCAAGGACATTTATAATCAAAGTAACTTAAAATTTTACCTATCAAGTGACTTGGAAGTATTTCTAAGAAGAAAAAATATATATATTAGGTCACTACAGTACAAACCTGAGGAGCATAAGTTTCTTTCCATATTTCATTATTCAGAAGGTCAGTTTACTTCTGGTTATATGCCTACTTCAAAGGATTGTACAATTATAATCTTACAGGCAGCTTTTGAATTCATCCAAAGAAAGGGAAGCTAGGCTTGGAGCTATCATAAACTCATAGCTAGTAAGTAGTGAAAGGTCATGTGCAGATCAGCATTTCATCAGAGAGCAAGCTCATAAACAGGCAGGCAGCCATGAAGATGGAACCATGTTTGGCGTTGGGTTGTAGCTGCCATGTCAAACTTGCAAACAGTGCAGGTATGTGTGATGGACAAGCAAGAATGTCCTGATGATTGGTAAAATCTCTTAAGCCCTGGGAAAGACCAGAATGTAATGATTTTGCCTGTGAAGACATGCCTAAAGGTGAGAGAAGAGTGCTAAGAAATGATCATACATTGGTTCTAAGCATCATCCAAAGCACAGCACATGCTTACTATAGTAAGCATGCTTTTCCGAGGAGCCATATAATCCTGAATAGCTCCTTCCATGCTTTCTCCGAACTCTTGTTTGTAAAGCAGCATGTGCCTAAATTATGAAAATGAAATGTTTCATCCTAGGAAAGGCTTACAAACCTGGGGCCCACCTAGGAACTATGTTACGTTATTAGTTGCGCATGGAATTTGGATGATTGTTGAGAATAAAAATCCAGCTACCTAGAGCTTACCCAGGAAATCATGGATAAGGCAGTAAACATAATTACTGGTTATTGGAAAAGGCTGTTTACCTGCCTTTGGCGAGTAGATTCAGTGTATCATATACCCTCTCCTGCCAGTTGTGCATGTGCTCTGCCAGGGATGCCGTAATGTGTGCATCTACTACATGAGAGCAAGGTTAGAAGCAGCTGCCTGTGTTTTGAAGGAAAGTAAACATAATTATTCAAATTAAGATATAAATTACTTTTTCTGTCAAAGGCCAAGCTAATGATTAGAAGAGTAGGTTGTTTTGAAGGCCGGAAGATCAAAAGTTTAGAAACGAATTACAGTTTTTGTAGAATGGTTATAGAATGAAAACTTGAACATTTAATTCATAAATACTTTCTGCACATCCTTGGGAGGAGCTCTCTGTTTCTCACTCTAATGTAAAAAGTAAAAGCAAAAAGATTTGGGGGCCAAATGTTGTGTTGAGCAGTAACATTGTTTTATCTACTTATAATAGGAAATAGGACAGCTACAGTCTCTAGAGAAAAAACTTTTGGATCTGTGTTTTTGACATCACTGCCTTAATGGCCAAGGGCAGGGTGGCTTCTTAGTGCTGATCCTTGGAAGCGGCTCCATTCAAGCCACCTGTCTTCTTGACCAGGGTTTAGTGTGAAGTATTTGGAAGAAAATTTGTCCTGCAGTATATTTCTAGTCATGTGGAAAGACAAGGAAAACAAGCAGCCTCACAAACAGTGGTCTGTTAACTACCAGAGATGAAGAGCCAGTCTGATTACAGTTAAATGTCTGCTTAAATATTAATGGTTCTCAAAAATTAGGAAAGAAGTTAAAGGTAGTTGTACAGTTAGACATATTTTCAAATGACTAGGCAAGTCGGTTCAATACAAAGATATATGAGTGCAAGACACTTTATTGAATTAATTAAGTGAATTGGGACTACAGTGGCTATTTTTTGTCAGTAGTCTTCCATTTCTGTGGATAATGAAGAGGGACTGTACTTAAAGCCATCAGCTGAGTGTAATTTGCACCTAGTGATTCTGCCTGTTAATACGTATGACCCATATTCTTCCAGTTCTGAACCCATTTACCCACTTAAGCAGATGGCATATTAAAACGGAGTTCAAAATTTTTAACAAGTTTTCCCAGCTGTACATTGTTTATATATTTTCAAGTGAGCTAAAGTCCAACTGAGTACTCATGTACAAGTGAATGTTCATGAAATGGTTTCTGGTTCCCTGACTCTGAATTCAAAGATACTGTCTTCCCAGCACCAAGAACAAGTCATGGCACTGACTTAGCTGTAAGCAGAATTAAATTCAGATCTCATAGTATTAACCATGTTTCAAAAAATACCCCAAATATATCTTAGAAGGCCACACAATTCACATTCTGCAGTCAAAAGCAGTGTGCATTTCTCTGTGAGGTGTAATAGCATTGTTCATGCTCTCTCTTGGGATTTACAGATGCTAATGCTGGAGACCGTGGACAGACCAATAATGCCGCTTCTGCATCAGCTTCCAACTCCACCTGAACAATCCCGAGCAGCCAGCTGCACAGGAAAAACCACCAGTTACTTGAGTGTCACTCAGCAACACTGGTCACGTTTGGAAAGAAAATTAAAAAGAGAAAAAGAAACCTATTCATTTTAGTGTTCAATTTTTTTATTATTATTGTTGTTCTTATTTAACCTTGTAAAATATCTATAAATACAAACCAATTTCATTGTATTCTCACTTTGAGGGAGATCCAGGGGGTGGGGTGGGCTTCTGGGGGTGGGGGGAAGTGGAGCACTAGAACACACAATCTCTCCCATGACAATCCTTTTTTATCAGAAATCTGCTGTTGTATACTTTAAAAACAGGACTCCTGCCTCATGCCCCTTCCACAAAAGAAGAAAACTTTGTTCTGTGCTGAAGTTTCTTTTGAAGTTTGTTTTCTTTTACAGTCAAGTTTAAGACTTCAGTATAGTGCACAGCTTGAAATTGGTTGGGAGCTTAGAAGGTGTAACTCTTGTAAATGGGGACTTAAGTGTCACTTGTAAAATTAATCCATATCCTCTGGTATTTGAAGACTTGCCTTTGGCATGTTGGTGGCAGGTGTGGCAGACAAAAAAAGGAAATGTAAACCCAGGGTAGTCAATAAAGTTTGAAGCCGTAAGGGGAAGATTGTTAACTGACTGAAGGTTTTGCTTTGTTCTTATTGAGTGCTGGTGGTGAAGAAACTTCTGTTGGAGGCTATCAGAAAAGGAGCCTGCATGCGCCACAGGTGAATCTCTGCCTGACCAAAGGTTTTCTGTTTGTGCAGTTTCAAACTAGTGACCTAGGAGAAAACCGAAAAGGGTGATGAGCTGGCCACTCTGGCTGCAGAGATCAAAAGCTGGTGAGCCTGGAGGAAGGGGACAGGCCAGGAGCAGATCTCACTGTGAATGAATTTGTCCAGATTTTTTCTAAAATTACTTCCCTTGGAAAGATACACTTGAGAGGACATTATAGTTAAATAATGTGAATTGTAACAGTCTACTGGTTTATTTTTCATATTTTTAATTGCAATTTGAGCTTGCAGAAATTGCCACATTCTGCACATAGTTCTAATTTTAAATCCAAATCTAGAATCTATTTAATTTTAGCTTTTCTTAATAACCTCATGCTTTTTAAATTTTATTTATTGATGCATGTCAGAAAAACCATTACAAATATTTTAGATGGTAGGAATATTAAAAACTACACATCAAAATTATATAAACAGTCACTTGTACCTGCTGACTTTGTAGGAAAGCTGATTATATAAATGTGTGTATATATGTTATATATACATAGACTCAATACTGCCTTTGTGTGTGTGTGTGTGTGTGTGTGTGTGTGTCCACAGTATCAAAATTGGCTGGTTGAAGCATGAGAAGAATGTCGTGTCCTCTTCCCCTTTTGTCCCGCCCCTCTCCCCTTAGTAGTTTTGATTTCTATTTTCTTTGTGTATCAGTGAACAGTGTAAGAATCAGTCTTTGTTTCTGATGAAAAAGCAATATTCCTTGGAAAGCAAGGAGGATTGAAGGATTATGTTTGCAGTGAGGAAATAGATTTTCACAACTAGTTTGTTTTATACTTTTAAGGTTGACATCTATGTGGGCCTTATATACTCTAAAATGAACCTTAGTCACCTTGGTGCTTATGGGCCATTACTTGACCTATGAATTTTTAAGGCACAATCAGTTGTATTTTACATGTAAAGATCATTTGTGATGGCCGCCTTTCCCTCCTACCTGCTCCCTCCTTACATACCTTCTAAGGTTAGCTGATAACCATAGGGCTGCAGAGCAAAGCCCTTGATTGTGTATGACTTCCTTCACCTTCATTGCCACCTAAGTAAGGTCTTGTTAGGGGTCTCCCTCCTACGGATTTGGGTTGGAGTCTCTTAGCCTCATCAAGGTCCCAGCGCCCTGTCCTGCTTCCTAACCACGTGTGTGTGACTCTCTAAGAGAGTTACTGCCTGCTGAAGTGAACCAGTACCCAGAAAGGCAACTGTGAGCCATCTTAGTTTTCACTCTGTTCAGCTGAGCTCTTGGGGCATAAGAAGGGTTTCTCAAACCTCTGCTTACATCAGAGTTCATGAGGAAGAAAACACACTCAGTCAAACCAGATCAAATGGAAATTTTCATAATGAACTTCTGAGCTCTAAGGTTTGAAAGAAGTGTGAAATCAGAGGATTCAGCAGCATAGTTTTAGTTCAGTTTTGATAGACCATTTTCAAAAATAAAATATGTAAAGACGCTGAACCAGCGGGTCTGTGACAGACATAGACCTGCTCCCATACCCAGTTACCCAGTCACATATTTGCACACAAGACACTACTCTGGTCTGGACTTGGTATACTTGCTAGAGTCCATAAATGTATGTGCTTGTTTAGGAAACACCTCCCCCATCCCACCCCCACAAATGAAGAGAAAAGTGAAATGCTTTTCTTTCATTTTAGTGTGTGTGTGTGTGTGAGGGCTGAGGTGTATGATTTTTCTTTCTCAAGGATCATGGCGGAATCACAGAACTCTTTTATACAAGTGAGATCCAGGTCTCTGAATATCTTTTTGTAAATAATAATAAATAATAATAAAAAGCTCCTCACCAAATTCAAGCTTGTACATTATATTTTCTTTCAGTGTTTTTAAATTTAAGTTTTATTGTTTTGTATGTAAATATGTGGACCCAGGAACTGTTATTAATGAGCAAAAAGTTACTGTTCAGGGCAGTGATTCTGTTTAATAATCAGACAAAATGTAGACGAGCTTTTTAAAGCCATATAGTTTTAACTCTGTACAGTAGGTACCGGCCTGTATTATTGTAACAATAACTCTAGCAATGTATAGTGTATCTATAGTTTGGAGTGCCTTCGCTTCCATGTGTTTGGTTTTGGGTTTTTTTGTTTGTTTTTATTTAATTGGTTTCTCTATCCATGTCTCCCTGTCCCACCTTGGTCCCTTTGAAATAATAGCTCGCTCATAACACAGTGTCCTTGCCCCTTCCACACTTAAGATTCAGTGACACCATGCTTAGGAGTGGAAAGAGGAAAGAAACCATGTTCATGATCTCATTCAAGCCCTGCCTTTGTTTTGGTTGTGAACATCTGTTTGCTCCTCAGTAGCAGTGACCGGTTTCATTTCATAGTCCATCCAGGGACCTAGTGTAGTGCCAGGGGGCCCTAGAGCTGGAGGATATCAATCAAATAGATTAGCTTTAGCTCGTCTCTTCCCCAAACCTTAACCTTGGGTCTTTCAAACAGCAGATCCCAGGACCCTTCCACACTCTCTCCTCTTGCCTATTTCCCTCCCAAATGAGAGAGAGAGAATTGGTTTGTGAAGTCAAAGCTTCTTAATAGTATCAAGTTTTGATGTGTCAGTGGTCTAAAATGCCATAGTGCAGTTCTGGCAGTTACTGCGTGGAGCCCGGCTGTGCCGGAGGACTTGTTTGAGCAAGGGAAGTCTTAGCCTGTTCTCTCCCTCCCATCACCACCTCTGTCCCCCATTTAGTAAAATGTCATTTTATTTTTTAATCAGTTTAATTCATACTGTGTGCCCATCCTGAAGGCCTTTTTTGAAGGAAAAAAAATCAAAATTACTTGCCTCCAAGTCTTGAGTAGAAAGAAACGTTACCAAACCAAAGGTTGCTACTTTTGAAACATCGTGTTCATTACAGTAAGGCAGAGACTGCACTACTTTTCAGTGACATGTCATCTTAAGTCCTTTTCATTTTTGGACACATTTTTTGGTTTGTGTTTTAACAAAGCCTGTCTAACCAGTCATCTTGTCTGCACCAATGCAAAGGTTTCTGAGAGGACTGTTGTATTTTCTACCCCTGTGTTTATAGACACTGGCCTTTTCATTTCTTTTCCCTTTCCTTTTCAAAGGATTTAACTTTGGATTCTTCCAAAGGAAGTTTGGCCAATGCCATATCCCCAGAAGTTTGGGGTTTTTTCTTTCTTGTAAACCAAAATTGTATCTGATTCCTGTTGTTCATGTTAGTGATCATCTAATCACAGAGCTGAACTTTTCTCCCCTGGTCTAGAAACTAAGCATGTTTTACAGTAAAAATCACAATCTGGTAGAAACCTGAGCCACTGAAAATAAGAGACAAGTAGAAGCACAGTAGAGTCCCAGATTAAGGTCTGTGAGAGGCTTTGAAAGTAATCCCCTGGGTTTGGATTATTTTCACAGGGGTTATGACATTTTATTCAAGTTTGTTGCTCCGTTTTGCACCTCTGCAATAAAGGCAAATGACAACCAGTACATAAGGGGTTAGCTTGACAAAGTAGACTTCCTTGTGTTAACTTTTAAGTTTTTTTTTTTTCTTACTATATCTGTCTACAGGCAGATACAGATAGATGTATGAAAATGTGCTTGCCTGTAAAATTTGCATTTATAAATGTGTTGCCGATGGATCATTTGGGCCTGTACACCTATCAGTTAGCGTGACCACTTCCATCTTAAAACAAACCTAAAAATCAAAATTTATTATATATATATATATATATATAAAGGACTGTGGGTTGTATACAAACTATTGCAAACACTTGTGCAAATCTGTCTTGATAATAAAGGAAAAGCAAAATCTGTATAACATTATTACTACTTGAATGCCTCTGTGACTGATTTTTTTTTTCATTTTAAATATAAACTTTTGTGAAAAGTATGCTCAATGTTTTTTTTTCCCCCCCCTTACCCCATTCCCTTGTAAATACATTTTGTTCTATGTGACTTGGTTTGGAAATAGTTAACTGGTACTGTAATTTGCATTAAATAAAATGTAGGTTAGCCTGGAAATGAAATTAAAATTCACAAGTGTGTGGTCTTTATTTCAGTATCCAATCCTCTTTCTTCACTCTATTTTGCCACCATAAGATGTAGTTACATCACCAACTCTGTCCTTCCAGTCAGAGAAACATGAATCTTTGTTATAAGAAACAAAATATGAACACAAGTTGTTGTTCTTTCAAATGATCATATTCATTGTATAGCCCCAAGAGGTGCAGCTTCCATCTTGGAAACCTTTGGATTCAATGTACAGGAAGCTTTTAAGATACTGCTTTGAAAAGAAAACATCCCTGAGAGAGACTAATTTTTAAAACATGTATAAGCTGCTGTCTTTGATCATTGTGTTCATGGTTTGGTGTAGCTGTACTTTCTTTTAACTTTCACCCCATCAGTAATGGTCTTTGGGAGTATCTGTAAACTATATGAACACCACAAATTGTGGGGCTATACCTCCCAGGTAACCAACACATGTTGTGTTTGAGTCTGCTCATTTCCAATACTGGATGATGTATGTAAACATGTTTGTCTCTTAGTGCAAAAAAAGAAAAAAAAAACTTTTTTAGGACTGGCTCACTGTCAGGCCTATCCTAAAGGCTAGGTATAAAGTCATGTGACTGCTGCTTCAATAAAAACAAATTTATATTGGATAAAATCTGGTCCTCTAGTTATTTTTATTGTGGTGGTGGTGGTACCTAACTAATTCCACTAATATTTGTAAACTAGTTAAGACACACCAGGAGGGAGGGTATATTGGGGTGGGAGGTCCACAGAAACACTGAGGATCTCACTTGTGGGATGCACTTCTTGGCATTGCGTAGCGTTTATTTGGGATCCACTCAATCTGAATCAGGATTGAGTTACACCATGTGTTAAATGTTCTGTAAAATAGCTTACTGATTTAAATGCTTGAAGACTGCATTTTAAGTTTCCAAGGTCTTCTAAAAAGTCCTTTCGGAGTCATTTCAGGAGAGCAGAGTGTGGAGGTGCTTTAGGTGTTCTAGAAGAGTAGTGAGGAAAAGGATCTGGTTACAGATAACGCCTCATGGAAAAGTGAAAGGAAGCCAAGAAATGCATGGAGTGGTCACCCATATTTGAGGAGGAGTGCAATTCTACCCACCATCAGCACGATCAGATTTAAAACTGGGTCTGGAAAGGGAAAGTAGCAGAGGAAGCTGTGTGGGAGGGGGCATAATAACCCCACAGTGTTGGAAACTTCTGGAAAGGGACACTCGTACTTTCTTCTTACAGCCTCTTTTCTCCAGAAAGGAGAGGCCATCTGGTCTGGGCTTTCCCACAAGAACTGTTAATGTCAAGACTTTAATTCAATCGCTAATGTCTGGTCCACATAGAGATTCGCCACTGAATGACTGATTGAAGGAGGTGCCAGAAGGTAAACAGTAAAGTCTTTCCTCACAGAAATTGACTCCATCAAGTTAAATTAAGTACTTTTAAGTTCTTATGCCAGTAGTCTTCAGAGGCATAAGGATAATAATGAAATTAGTAAAATGAATAGAAAGATTGCATATTATATTGATAAAATGTGATAGTCCATTTCCACATTTCTTCCCAGAAAAGAAAGCAAAAAAAAAAAAAAAAAAAACTCCCCACCCAAATGTTATTTAAACAGGGGTTTTTAACTTGAAATTGTATACACTGT